ACTTCGTTCCTAATGTGTTGTTAGTAAAGGGACGAAATTTACAACATCAATTACGGAGTACATTTTAGGGACGAAAAGTAAGCACGACTAATAATTATGAATTCTTCAATTACCCTATAACTTAGTGATTAAAAGTGTAATTTTTCCTATTTTTTACTATTGTATAATTTTTGTGTTATGTAAAAAATTCAAAAGTAATGTTTGACAATCTTAACGATCGTACTCATATAATTATATATTTCATATATTATTGCACATAGTATAATTAAAAATAATTATCAATAATAAATGGCACAATCATATATGGTATATAATTATATATATAATAATATTATGTGGTTGGTACTAATATCGACTAAGATGATAAATTTTCTCTATAAATTTGCCCCCCCCCCCCCCCCCACCCCTGACTTTCTGGCTGCGCCACTGCATGTGAAATAATTTCTATAGAAAATTAGCACCATCAATTAACTTTTAAAAACAATACAAAGCCAATTTTACATTAGGGAAACCGCCCTAGTGATGTTATTTCTAATTTTTGCTATGACTTGTTGCCTTCTGGGCAATGCTTTGTTTAGAATTTTGGCTATAACCACTTATTGATCAAGACATCCTTCAGGGACGATCATATAATAAGTGCTTCATTTCTAGGAAAATATTACATGCATTTATGCAAGTTCCTATTCCTCCGACCTAATTTTCGATCACCAGAGATTTATCTTAAATGGTGAAATTATCATTTTTCATTACTTTTTTCTTAAACTTCTTGAAAGGGGTGCGACCAGAAATGGCAACTTTGTCATCCAAGATAAAGCCACTTGCTTGAAATTTGGTGGCAAATTATACCGTGCACCAAGGCGCACAATGCATTGTGCGTCCTGGCCCAAAACGACGTCGTTTTGGACCTTTTCGCGTGTCTGCTGTTAACTCCTTAAAAAAAATCATGTTTCGAATATACATAATTGTATAATAGAATACACAGAATTTTATACCTAAAAACACAGATTTTTATAACTGAAAATCTCATGTTTTAAAACTGAAAACACATAATTTTATACGTGAAAACACGTAATCTTTTTTAAAAGTATAAAAATCTCCTGTTTCGAATGCATGTACAGAATTTTATACTTGAAAGCACAGAATTTTATAACAGAATACAAAACGACGTCGTTTTGGGAGGCGCGGGGCGCACATTGCTATGTGCGCCCTAGTGCACAGTATAACGACTGAAATTTGGTTATCGGTGATCAAAAATTAGGTCAGAGGGACGAAATGTGAAAAAATTAATAGTCAAAAATCAAATGTGAAATTGATCTCATTGTCCTGGGACGATGAAAAGTGGAAAAAATTTGGAAGTAATAAAGAAAAATTATATTGCATTTATTAGGAGTCTATTATCATTACTATTAGTCTATTACTATTAGTCTAGTATTATTAGTATTCGTCTTGTGTTAGGTCTTGTATACTCAGCTAGATATACTCTGTACTCGACACATTATTCATTATTCAGATATATCGAATCCTCATCTGGTATCAGCAGGTTTAATTCCTACTCTTCTTCCTATGGCGCAAATCGGCGGTGATGACAGCTCTGTCGGCAGTTCCGAGCGGACCGTTTCCGAGGCTTCTCTTGCTGCGCCATTGTAGGGGGTGTCTTTCTCCTCGGCACACCACTTTGTCTCCATCAAGTTGTCCTCTCGCAACTTTCTGTTTTGGCGTACCCAATTGCTTCCCTTTCTTAATGGGCAAGGGTTGCTAGGGTTTGTTGATGGTTCGACTTCCTGTCCACTGCTCACGGCACTCGCGGTGTCCTCGGCCGAGGGTGTTGTTGCTGCTGTTCCGCCCGCTTCTTCTTCCGCTGCTAGGGCGGCTTGGTTGCGGCAAGACAAGGCCGTGTTGTCTCTTCTCATCTCATCGTTGTCTGATGAGATGATGCATCTCGTCATCGGCAAGTCGACGTCTCGGCATCTATGGTTAGCCATCGAACAGACGCTTGGGTCGACAACTCGGGCACGTGCTTTTCGTTTGGTGGGTGAATTGCAGAGGTTACGGCAGGGAGAAGCTTCGATTCCTGACTATCTTGGCCGTGCGCAGGTTCTCATCGAGGATTTGGCGCTCGCCGGCCGTCCGGTGACGCTGGAGGATCAGAATATGTACATTTTCCGTGGCCTTCGATCGGAATACCGCCCCCTGGTGGCGTCTCTGACGCGGGGTCCTCCGGTCTCTTTAACCGAATTGTCTGACTTTCTTGTCTCTCAGGCTTTCATCTGTGCGGTTGGAGATGTTGCTGTTGCGCCGGTGGCTATGGCAGTCGCTCGGGCGATCAACAGTGTGGAGGCGGAAACCGTGGTCGTGGTCGCGGCAAGGGGCGTGGTCGCGGTCGCGGTGGTGCCGACGCTGTTCAATGTCAGATTTGCTCCGGTCAAGGTCATTCGGCCGCCACTTGTTTTCGCCGATGTGACGGGGCTCCGGGGCCGAGAGCCAATGTCGCATACCCCGTGGATGATGCTGCTTCTGTTGATGTGCATCAATGGTTTCCTGACACCGGTGCGTCTAATCATGCCATGCCCGATCCGTCATTAGTGTCCTCGACGGCTCCTTACACCGGTTCGGATCAGCTTCGTGTTGGTGACGGTAAGTGTCTACCTATTGTTGGTACAGGTTCTTCTTTGTTAACCTCTTCTCATACACTGTTTCGGTTATCTGGTGTGTTATATGTTCTTGGGCTTTCTGCGTCTTTACTGTCTGTCCAACGCTTTGCTCAAGATAATAGAGTCTTTTTTTGAGTTTCACTCTGATTGTTTCTTTGTGAAGGATCGTTCAACCAAGGCCATTCTGTATAAAGGGCTGGCTTCGGGAGGTTTCTATTCCTGGCCTGTTACTCGCTCGAGTCCTGCTGCGTTAGTGGCTTCTCGTGTCTCCTCTGATGTTTGGCATGGACGGTTGGGGCATCCTCATCCTCGTGTCATGCGGCAGATTTTGAATTCCTGTTCTATTAGTTCTAGTGTTAGTGATAGTTCTGTGTCTTGTCGTGCTTGTATGCTAGGGAAATCCTCTCGGTTTCCCTTGCCTCGTGTCGATACTACTACTTCGCATGTTCTTGAACTTATTTATACCGATATTTGGGGCCCTGCGCCATTTCCTTCTGTTAATGGTTTTCGGTATTTTGTTCTATTTGTTGATGACTATTCGCGTTTTGTGTGGTTTTATCCTATGCGGTTGAAAACTGATGTCTATGCTATTTTCGACCAGTTTCGGTCACTAGTTGAGCGTTCTCATGGTCGTAAGATTGTCTCTATACAATCTGATTTAGGGGGAGAGTATAATCGGTTGCACCGTACCTTTGTTTCATTGGGAATTAATCATAGGCGATCCTGTGCCTATACCCACGAACAAAATGGTAGGGTTGAGCGTCGGCATCGTCACGTTGTGGAGACCGGTCTAGCCCTCTTGGCTCAGGCTTCCGTTCCATAGCGTTATTGGGACTATGCCTTTGAGACTGTGGTGTTTCTTATTAACAAGATGCCCACTCGTGTCTTGGATAATGTTAGCCCTCATTATCGCTTACATCGTTCTCATCCGTCGTATATTTTCTTGCGTGTGTTTGGTTGTCTCTGTTACCCTCTGTTGCGTCCATACAATCGCAACAAGTTACAGTATCGGTCTTCCCCGTGTGTTTTTCTTGGCTATCTGTCTTCTTTTCGGGGCTATCGTTGTTCTGATCCTGCTACTAACAAGGTATTCATTTTCCGTCATGTACGGTTTGATGAGACCATATATCCGTTTGCTGCTTCTGTGCTTCCTTAGGTCACTAGTCTTCGGCAGGTCTCTCCGTGGGGCGCTGGCGCTGTTCGAGTGGATCCTGGTCTCGGGGTACACGATGCTGTGCCGGTTCCAGGGACGGAGGTCGCTACTGCTCCATGTGGTACCGTGGCCGACTCGGGTTCTCGTGGTGCCACTGCTGCCTCGGACTCCCGCACGGTTACGGATGTGGTCCCGGCTACTACGGCTAAGCGGGGCCGCCGTGCGGCGAAGGTGGTTCCACCCCCTTCTCATGTCATGGCGACTCGTTCAAAAGGACCGACTCAGCATGTTGCTTTGACAGCTGTTCCTGAACCGACTTGTTACTCTCAGGCGGTTCGGTATCCTGAGTGGCGTGAGGCCATAGATCTTGAGTTTAATGCCTTGATTCAGAATAACACCTGGCGGTTAGTGGATCGCACTCCGGGTATGAATGTCGTTGGGGTGCAAATTGGTGTTCAGGACGAAGCGCAAGGCTGATGGCACAGTCGAGAGGCACAAGGCACGGTTAGTTGCTAAAGGCTTCAATCAGGTGGCAGGTCAGGACTTCTTTGAGACTTTCAGTCCAGTCGTCAAGCCAACCACTGCGAGACTTCTTCTATCTTTGGCTGTCTCTCGGGGTTGGACGATTCGGTAGCTCGACGTGCACAATGCGTTTCTCAATGGTAATCCTATCGTCAAGCCAACCACTGTGAGACTTCTTCTATCTTTGGCTGTCTCTCGAGGTTGGACGATTTGGCAGCTCGACGCGCACAATGCGTTTCTCAATGGTAATCTCTTTCAGACTGTTTATATGAGGCAGCCGCCTGGCTATGAGGACAGGGCCCGCTCGGATTCTGTGTGTTTGTTGCAACGGTCGTTGTATGGGCTTAAGCAGGCCCCTAAGGCGTGGTTTGACAGGTTACGTGCTTTCTTGGTTTCGGTGGGGTTTTCACCATCCAAGACGGATGTTTCTTGTTCATTTATTCTCGTGACTCTGTCTGCTTATATGTACTTGTGTATCTTGATGACATCCTTGTGATGGGTTCTGATGCTACTCGTGTGCGTCGTCTACTCTCTGACTTAGCCTCGGAGTTCAAGATTTGAGACATGGGCGCTCTGTCCTTCTTTCTTGGTATTGAGACAGTCTCCCAGGATGGCGGTCTTTTTCAATTCTCTCTCAGCAACGGTACATGCGAGACATTTTGACTCGTGCAGGTATGGTGGACTGTAAGCCGCTGGCTACTCCGGTTCCTGTGTCTTGTCCAGTGCCTAGTTCTATGGCTCCCTATGCGGATCCCACACAGTATCGTAGTCTTGCGGGTGCTCTTCAGTACCTTACTGTGACGCGTCTTGATCTCTCTTTTGCTGTGAATCGGATTTGTCAGCACATGCACTCCCTGACTACTGAGCATTGGGTTATGCTCAAGCGCGTACTCCGATACGTGAAAGGTACCCTTCATTTCGGTCTCTTTATCCGTCTGTCCTCCTCTCTTGCTGTTCATGCTTTCTCGGATTCGGACTGGGCTGGTGATCCGAGTGACAGGAAATCCACCAGTGGTTTTTTGGTGTTTCTGGGTGGCAATCTGATCTCCTGGTCGTGTCAGAAGCAACGGACGGTGGCTCGATCATCTACTGAAGCTGAGTACAAGGCACTGGCTGATGTGTCGGCTGAGGTCACGTGGCTAGTCTATCTGCTTCGGGAGTTGGGCATTTCGCTGGCTGTGCCTCCCATTCTTTGGTGTGATAATTTGGGGGCGACATATTTATGCTCTAATCCGGTTTTTCATGCTCGCACAAAGCACGTAGAGATTGACTACCACTTTGTGTGTGATAAGGTGGCTCAGAAGGAACTGCAAGTGAGCTTCATCTCCACGAAGGATCAGTTAGCTGATGTGTTCAGTAAGGCCCTTCCTGGTCCTCGTTTCACGACTCTTTGTAACAAGCTCAATGTTGTTTCCAGTCAACTTTGTGCTTGAGGGGGAGTATTAGGATTCTATTATCATTACTATTAGTCTATTACTATTAGTCTAGTGTTATTAGTATTCGTCTTGTGTTAGGTCTTGTATACTCAACTAGATATACTTTGTACTGGACACATTATTCATTATTCAGATATATCGAATCCTTATCGCATGGACTTGAATTATTAATAATTAGTATTATTATATTAAACACCCAACAATCCATGGTGCTTTCATTATACTCCGTAATAAATTGAAGGGAAAGAGAAAGAAAAAATCAAAGATGGAAACATATTGTCATTTCCTCCCTAACAAATTAGTCAAGTCTATGACATGTAGTCTAGTTAGAGAAAGAGAAACACTTCACTCATCTACATACATACTATATCTCTCTTATTTAATTTCTCCAAATTCCAATTCAAAAGTCCGGCCATATCATCATCATCTTCTTCTTCTCCAAATTATAAAGAGGATTTGCAGAGCTGAGGAATTAGAAAGAAAAGTGGTATAATGGAGATGACTTCAATGGCTCCTCATCATCATCATCATTATCAAGAATCTCCCATGAACAACTCCTTATCATCATCATCATCATCACCAAATAGCAATGGGAGTAGCATTGTTAGCACTAGTACAATTAGCAATAACAATGGTACTCTAACCCCACCTTTGACTCCCAAAACCCTCTCCAGATCTGAAGCTAATAACCAGGGCCGGATTTTAGGCTGTGCAAGCTGGGCTACCGCACAGGGCCCCCAATTTTAGAGGGGCCCCAAATTTTAGAGGCCCAATATTTAATATTTACCTAGCTAGTTTAGAAATAAAAATTAAAAGTTTACAATTAATCTTAAAAGGTTCTATGAAGAGATGGTTGAAATATGTATTTATTGTCTTTTAACTTAGAGGTCAAAGGTTCGAAACTCGTATATGTTAGTTTTAAAAATCATGATTTTGGAGGGCCTCAGTTATTTACCAAGAACAGGGCCACAAAAATCTAAAATCCGGCCCTGCTAATAACCCTTACCCTGCTAATAACCCTTACCCGACAACCTTTGTCCAGGCTGACACTGGCACATTCAAGCAGGTTGTCCAGATGCTCACGGGCTCATCGGAAACTGCTAAGAATATTGCCTCTAAACCCTCCAGTAGTTCAGATCCGTCTCCGCCGCCGCCGTCCTCCTCCGCCGCCAAGCCCTTCTGCGGCGGCATACCTCCCAAGAAAGAAGGGTTCAAGCTGTACAAGAGAAGGAACAGCCTCAAGAATAATAATGAGTTAATGATCAGCCCTTTGATTCCCGGCGGCTCATCAGCAGGGTTCTCGCCGAGGAAGCCGGAGATTCTGTCGCCGAGCATTCTTGACTTCCCGTCGCTCGTTCTCAGCCCGGTCACGCCGTTGACCAAAGACCCGTTGTCCTCCTCATCGGAAGAGGAGAAAGCCATAGCGGAGAAAAAGTTTTACTTGCACCCATCTCCCAGGGCTAACGCCGCCACAACTCCGCCCGGAGACGCTCACCCACCTCAGCTCTTACCTCTCTTTCCGGTCACTTCGCCCGGACCCGACTAACCGCCTCCTCCTCTCATCTTGTGGATTCTTAATTACTGTATTGCCATCATCATCAATTCATCTACCAAAAAATCTTGTATAATTTTATTTCTATTCTTCCTTAGCTTGTGCCCATGGCTTCAAACAATAAGATTACAACTTCATCTAGTTTGAGTAAGTCAACTATTTGGTGTCTGAGCATACTCAGACTAATTTTCGACTCCAGATTGATTTTTCATATAAGAGGGGTTGAATGACATCTCTTAAGGGAGGATAATGTACAGTCAGTCACGTTAATCAAGTTAGTTTTGTGTACTTCAACGTTTGTCATAAGATTAAATTTATTCCGTATATACCATCAAATTAAATAGTGATTACCAATTTCACCATAATCCAAAAAAAAGTAATAATAAGGAACAACAAGTACTAGCACTCTTCACTGTATCTTGTATGAGATGGAACATATATTTCATGAATATAAGCTTCTTTTGAAATAATTTTGATCTTTACAATGAAACTCCGTCAGAAAGTGGCTTAGCTTACATATTTTACTATTTCAGTACGACATTAAAGTAATAAGGTCTGAGTTCGAGCTCTACCATGTTACTCACCAGCTTAATTAAGGTTTTATTAGAAGAGAATGCTTTTTCTTTACAAAGATATTTCTGATCTCTTTCCTTGCATTGTGTCATGCTAAATGGGTGCATTTATGCAAGTGGGGAGCAATCCATCTTTTTTTTTTCTTTTTTTTTTCTTTTTTTGTGACAAGAGAAATTGTTGCTTATAATAATAATCTACAAACTACACTAAGAAGATTGGCATCATGCAACGGGTTATCTATTTCTCCACCATACTAAACCACATTAGGAAAACCCTGCACAACTTACAAAAAATCATAAAGAGATAAATCAGTTTAGAACCCAACAATCCAACCAACTTGGTTAGAGTTGCCCCATGCCACATCAATTTTTTTTTTATTTTCTTTTAATAATTCTATAGGTGGTATGTGTAAATTTCTATAATGTACTTATGAGGCAAATTATACCATGGGCAAGGGTCTACTTTGCATTGTGGACCCTGGTTTAAAAATAATCTTTAGATTTTTGTACTTGCAGTTAACTATTTTTGTACTTGTAAACAAATTGAAGGCACATCACATGGTAATTATAGATACATATAACATGATAACTACAGACACATAAACTGTTAAATGTATGAACAATTTTTTTTTCTTTTTTTTTCTTTTTTACAAAAAGGGAAGGGCGAAGCCCCGAGGGATAAAGGCAAAAATCAATCACTGCGGGCAAAAGGAGCCCCAATACAATCCATGTGAACATATGCCTCAAGGTCAATGTTTGGGGGAAAATAAAACAGGGTCAAATCTAGGTTGGGATCAAAATTCTTTGCCAGCCAATCTGCCACTTGATTTTGTTCTTTCAAAATATGGTAGCACTTGGCATTACATCTTTTTTTCATCCAGGACTTGCACTAAAAATGAGGTTATTAAGAGTTTCCCGCGTTTAGCATTAAAAAGGGGATCATTGATCCAGTCGACGACGTTAGCCGAGTCGCTTTGGATAACCATCTTTGTAAAATTCATATCCCAAGCCATTTTAAGTCCTGTAAGGATTGCCCAGGCCTCCGCAACATCTGCTGAGCATTTTCCAAGGTTACGCTGAAAACCCACGATCCAATCTCCATGATGATTTCTCAAAGCACCACCGCACCTTGCCTCTTGACGCCTAGCTCTGCTGCTACCATCAACTGTAGACACATAACATGTTAACTAACATATTATGTGTCTATCTGTATACAGTTAATATATTTTGTACCTAGAATTAATAATTATGTATATGCAGTTATCATGTTATGTGTCTATAATTACCATGTTATGTACCTCTAATTTGTTTACAGGTACAAATATTGTTAAGTGCATATATAGAATGTGTTAACTGCAGATATATAATTTTTAGATTAGGATTCACAACGCAATATGAACCTTGTTCTATAGTATAACAATTCTACTTATGATATGTCTAAAAATTAAAGTAAAAAATATTGAGAATGAATATGAAATAATTCGGAAACCCCGGAAGAGTTGCATCGAATGGATTACTAAAACTTATTATCAATGGAGTTCAACTTTATATATGTGATGAATTTGTCAAACAAACTTTTTTAATTTGGTTATCTTTATTTAACATGTTTACTGATTAACATTAATACAAATCAATTAACCTCTAAATTACTTAAATTAATGATTATTATTAAATTAAAGCCTAACACATCATTATTCCATGGATCATGGTCCACAAATGTGTTAATCATAAATAAAAAATACATTTTTAATATATATATTTAAAAATACATGACTTTTTATATATTATCAAATAATGTATATTCAGTATACAAATAATTTACTTTTAATATATTAAAAATGTATATTTCATTCATAGTTACACAGTTATGTGGACCATGTTACATATAATAATTTGCCATAAAATGAGGCATGGAATACTGTACTACTCAATAGTATAGAGTAACATGCAGCATGAAGAGTTAAAAGACCTTTTATTTTATTAAAAGTAAGACAAGATAAAAAGAAAATGATGACTTTTTTGCTTATAATGAGGGAGATTCTTGCCTTTATAATGCCAAAAATTCTACCAAGGAAGAAAAGAGATGGAGTGGGGTCCATCATTATACTGTGAATAGTAAGGTGAATCACTGACATATATATTTATTTTTAGCATATTAAATGTTTATTTTTAATATACAAAATGTCTATTTTTTGAAAGTTCAATTTTAATCATTTAGTGTACTGAAGATTTATTTTTAAGTAAAAATAATATATCAGTAGTTCACATTGCAATGTGGACCATGGTCCACAATATAATTTGCTAGGTGGAGTGGGTGGGTAGGTTGAATGCAGTTAACATGTTTTGCAATTAACATATTCTGTACCTGCAGTCAATAGTTTATGTGTCTGTAGTTATTATTTTATGTATTTATAGCTAACATGTTATGTGCCTTCAGTTTATTTACAATCACTTAAGCGGTTAAGTGTAGTTACAAATTAAAATATATCAACTGTGAATATATAATTTTTGAACCAGGGTCCACAATGTAAGATAGCATCTGGTCCATGGTATAACAATTGTTGTATTGGTAGGTTGATTATCTGTTGCATACAAGGAATGAGTGTGTTTGGGCCAAGTGAATGCAACTTGTGATTGGGATCAAATTAATTATATATTCATATTCTTGATTATGTGCTGCACTAACTTAATACTGTAAATATTAAAGAATATATGCAGAGTTGCACACATAATGGAAAAGTAGTTGTCCACATTACTATGTTAATGCATTGGACTTTGGAATCATATTCATCTCTTGGTGTAGGATTAAGAATATGGGGATATTACGTCAATATGTCACTGTTGAAAAATTAGTGTATACCGTTAATACCCAAAATCGTCCTCGACTATAGTGGTTTTTCTCAATTTCGTCCTAAACGACTTTGGTGACCTAATATCGTCCCAGACTTTTGTGTTTCGCTCAATTTAGTCCTAGATTTTTGTGTTTTTGCTCAATTTAGTCCCTCATTTGTTATTCTGTCCATTTGGTGTTAAATAAATAGACAATTCAGTAATTTTAATATTGGCATCTCTTTACTCATAGACATGTGAACTGTGAAATCCTTTTTTTTTTTTACGAATTACTCCCATAATTACTCCTAAAACTGCGAATATAAAATTTGATTTGCAGGTCCGGGAGTAATTCTGGATGTAATTCGTACAAGAAAGAGGAATTTCGCACTTCACAAGTTGAAAGTAAAGAGAGATCAATATTGACATTACTGAATTGTCCCTTTATTTAACACCAATTTGATGAAATAACAAATGGAGGACTAAATTGAGCGAAACACAAAAGTCTGGGACGATATTAGGTCACCAAAGTCGTTTAGGACGAAATTGAGAAAAACCACTATAGTCGAGGACGATTTTGGGTATTAACTCGTCTAATATTTCTAATTAACTTAAAAACAAAAAAGAGTTTTAGGGGTATTTAGTAACATAGATAGTTTATCAGACCTACTGAAACACAAAAAACCAATAACACCTCTATTGAGGCTCGAACTCACAACCTTCCAAATGGAAGTCTAACCCAGATACCATTAGACCATATAGTCCTGGTATCCACATTTGTTTGATTTAAGGAGATTTTGGAATAGTAAAACTTACACTTGGGAATTTTAGACAAATGGGAGGGACAAATTTTCAAGTCATTTTCTTCCTGCAAAGAGAGAAATTTTGCAGAGACATATGGCCCACCACAGCCCACAACCTACTGACACATCACTTTTTGTTTTTATTTTTTAATTATTAATTTTATTTTATTTAATTTTAAGTTATTATTGTTATTAAATTTATATTTATTAATTAAATTAAAATTCTTAATTATCAATAATAATATTATTATTAAATTTATAATTATAATAATATTTTTATCAAATTTATAATTATAATTTTAAGAATGATAATAAATAAAGAAATAATTAAAATAGGGAGATAAAATGGTGGGTCCATAAAAAGTTGTGAAAAACATAAAATTAATGGGAAGATGAGATTTTGTGATTGAATGAGATAGTAGATGATAGGTGGATATTGGAGCCCACAAAAATCTAGGGTAAAATCTTTAACTATTGAGGATGCCCTTAAGGGGATTTGTTCACGGATTTTAAGACAAAAATGCCAACATGGAAGAGAGAGAGAGAGGCAAGAGAGAGAATGTCTAAGCTCTTCTCGGCTAATTTGGAGTTTTTTCATAAAAGTGAGACCCACTGCATTCTAAGGCCAGTCCCGCGCTGCACGCGTGAAGGCCACAATGGCGCCCAGCGAGCGCGTGCACTGCATGCGCCAACTGCGCGCGTTAATGGCGTTCTTTTACCTCTTTTTTTTAAATCATCATTTGTTTTATATTTTTTTTCTTTTTTCTCTTTCCTACAATCTTCTCTTTCCTAATCACATTTACAAAAACTCCTCAAAAATCACCCCAAAAAAAACCCCACTATTGAGGATGCCCCAAGTGTTTGATTAATTAGCTTTTTTTAACAGTTTATTGCTCCAAAACACTAAAATTCAAAAAACTACTCAAAGCATCTTTTT